CAATCTCAGATTCCTGACTGGTGAGTTGGGCCTGCAAATTTGCATTTCTGACAAGTTCCCTGCTGCTGTCCAATGATTCCACTTTGGAAGTAACTACTCTCACCTAAGACATCACTCAGCACCATAATCTTCTGTTTATGTGTCTAATTCTCCTTCAGACTGTGAGTTCCTGGAACAGGAACTTTCTTGACTTTGTATCCCTGGGTTCTAACCCATCATTTGTCGCTGAATAAATTTTGTGTTGAGTAAATGATTTGAAAGAAAAAAATGCAGTGGGTGATAAATTTGATATTGTGTTCACATTTTTTAATCCTGAATTTTTTTTTTTTTTTTTTTAGTGTCTCTTGAAAAAGTAGGAGGTTCTGGTAGCAGTGGCTCAAAGTTCTACTTGGCAACATCTGGCTGATGTTGAGTGGTGTTTGTCCTTAGACCACAGCTGCCACAATCCCTCACAGTCCTTCCAGTATTACACCTACACCCCAGGTCAAATCCATGACTTCTGATCTCCTAAGTGCCTGATTTTTTAAATCAAAAAGCCAGCAACAGTCTCGTCATGATTCCTCCATTTTCTGCAGTCACATCCTTTTCCTAAGGTATATTAGTACAAAAAGACTGGTGGTTTGAAGAGAGGCTGGGAAATTAGGGGGAAGAGATCCCAGGAAGAAAAATGACTAACATCTTGGAATACTATCTCATTACTTATATATAAAGTATTGTGGCAGCTAGATGAGAAATTGACCTATGCCATGGGACAAGGGTGAGGAGTAGGAGTATTAGTTAGGGAGAACAAGGGAAAAGGAAAGGCAGAGGTGTCCAAACTGGCCCCTGAAATAGTAGGGAGAGCTTCCATCTACTGAATGTTTACACTTTGTCAGACATTGGAATATATGTGCACCCTCTAAATGAATGATCAACCCCTGGGGGATAAATATGGTTATTCCCACTTGACTGGTGAGGAGACTAAGGCTCACAAGGTTTAAGAAATTTGTCCAAGCAGAGTTGGAATTTAAATCCATAATTACTTAACCCTAGAGTGCATGTTTCTAACCACTCTATCATAATGAGCACCAAAAACATGGGCGGAAGATATTTCAAGCAGATAAAAACAGCTTGAGCAATGGCATGAGGGCTTGAGTCCATCATACCACACATTGACAGTTGAGTGTGATTTTCACATAGGGCTTTTCAAGGGAAGTATCTGCACATGACACTAGAAAGATCCACTGGAGCTGGACCATTATTGGCCCTTGTGCCATGTTAAAGAATTTTAACCTTATTCTGAGAGGTTTCAACATGAAGATGCTAGAAACAAAAGAAAAATATTGCCCTCTCCTCTGAATGCCTTAGTGCATTCAGACCGGCCAAAAAAATATGTGTGTGTGTGTGTGTATGGTCCTGATTTCTATACCTGAATAAGTTCATAATAGAACTAGAGAAGCCCAGAAACAATGTTGAAGAAAGAATAAGGACTCTTCAGTCTAAAAAGGCAGGGAGGAGAGTCCTTGAAGTCAAAGAACATTCTGCATTTTGAGCAAGACTGGATAGTCCAAAAACCTTCAACTGCCTGCCATGCCCACAGACCTTTCTCTGAAAAGCCTTGCTTTGTGTGATTTGACCTCATCTTGACAAAACCAACAGTGCCAGGTATCTGCCCTGTGGCCTGGATATAGGGAGCTGAGGCGTCTTATCAGGAGAACTCTATCCACTGTGTTGGGGGGAAGAGGGCGTGTTTGTACTGACTAGTGGCAAACAAAATCATATTGTCTCAGGCCATTTTTAATTAAGAATCCCAAAGGGGAGGGCAACAACAAGCTGAGCAGCAGGTGCCAAGTTGGCATTGGGTAGCCACACAACAGCGAGAAATCCTTTTGATGGATGATCTGAGGAGCCAGCGCAGCAAGTAGTTAAGAGCACACATTTCAGGGTTAGACTCCTCAGGTTCAAATGCCAGACCTTGGACAAGTTCCTCAGCCTCTCATTTTTCTGAGTCTCGTTTTACACAGGAAATAATGATAGAGCCTGCCTCACAGCATATGGGCAGTTCTATGAGATAATTTATATGAACTGTTTAGGTTAGTCCCTTCCATAGTGTAATAAAATATTAAGCTGGGCACGGTGGCTCATGCCTGTAATCCCAGCACTTTGGGAGGCAGAGGTGAGAGGATTGCCTAAACCCAGGGGTTCGAGGCCAGCCTGAGTTACATGGGGAGACCTCATTTCTACAAAAAATTAGCCAGGCATGGTGGCACATGCCTGTAGTTCCAGCTACTTGTAAGGCTGGGGCGGAAGGATCACCTGAGGCCTGCAGGTCGAGGCGGCAGTGGCCGTGAGTGTGCTACTGCACTTCAGCCTGGGCAACAGAGTGAGGCTCCAACTCAAAAAATAAAAAATTTTAAATTACATTCTGAAAGAAAAAAATATATTCAGGTTCACCATTCCTACAGGTACAGCTGCTAAGACAAATTCCTGGGTTTCCTTTCTTCTGCATAAAGACAATAAATCCATCCCTGTGTTCCTTTCCCTTGAAAGCTCAAAGAAGCTAACATAGTAAGCTGAGAAACATAGTAAGCTTAGAAAAAAATAAAGCTTCACTGCAAGAATAGAGAACAAGCGGGCATAAGTTGGTAATACAAATAGTTTTTGAAAGATTAAATCATGAAAAAATAATTGATTACTAAATGAAATTAGAACATGTTGGGTTTTGTCACTATCATTTGAAGTTGACATCAAGGACAATAACCACACCCTTTTGCATACCCTTGAGTTTCTCTGCCAATGACAATATTGGGGTTAATGAACCATGGTTCTGATGAGATATGACAATGTTTGTTCATATGTACTTAAGTACTTGATCATCACATCTCAAAACACTAAAACCCCTTGAAGCTTGAAAGAGATTTGGGACTCATAAATTAGTTATAATGTATTCTGGCTACATTATGCTTAGAGTTTGCAGACAATTTCAAATATATCTAATTTGATCCTCACAGTGTCTCTGCAAGGTAGGCAGACAGTAGGGTAGGGAGGCAGAGGAAAAAACTGAAGTTCAGGGAGATTAAAAGACTGGCTTGAATTCATACAGCTACTACGTAGGAGTGAATTCAGACTCAGGTCTTATGACTGTCAGTCCCCTGCTGCTTCTACTGAACAATGAATGGAAAAATTTGGAACTTAACATTCCCAGTGGTAGAACAGCCTGAACTTTGGTTTTGAGAAAGATGCAAGTGAGAAGTAAAAATATATCACACAAAAGGCGGCATTCCTTATGCCCACTACTTCCTTTGGCAGTCAACCCCAGAATTCTTTATTGATTCTCCTGGATCTGGATTCCAAATCTTCTCAACATAGTCCTCTGGGGAGTTACCATCAAAAAGAGCAGAGCAGACATGTGATTTTAAACCTATTTTCATGAAGAGAAGGTTCACTGAGAGGAATCTGAGGTGGAGACTGCTAAAGCTTACCGATATCCATGCCATCCTCTTTCTCCTAGGCACACTTTCCAGACTCCCCTGCAGTAAGATGAGGAGTGAATGATTTCTGCAAGGAAATCATGCATGGAAGTGGGCAATCCTTTTCTTTCCTGTCAGCTGACGGAATGGACTGAAGATCTAGAGTACAGCAGTGTCACAAGATGGATGGAAGTTGAGTCCCTGGATAGCAGGTGGAGCAGTCCCCCAACTCCTTGAACTTTGATTTGAGAAATAAGTTTATATTGAGGCCACTGAGACTGGGCTGTTCATTCAGCAGTTCCTCTCATAACTACACCCTTCCTGAAATCATCTTTTGTATCACTTGTAGAAGCACTCCTGGTTTGGGTTGTCTCCTCACACATTTCTCACATTCAAATTTTAAAGACTTTGCAAATGTTCATTATAGTGGATTTTGTTTTCTCCTTCTGTTTGTCAGCATACATTTTCTATTTGGGAGAAATCCCTGATTGGATGACTTTGGTGGCACCACAAGGGTATAAGGGTTGTAATTCCCTCCTACCATCCTGCAAATTAGAGCCTGGGTCTTGATCTGCAACAATATTCACCTGAATGTTGACACCGAGGCCTTTAAATCTTAAGCAAATGAGATCAAGAAAAGAAAAAGAAAACCAAGAACAATTGAGATATCAGTCTCTGAAGCCACAGCACTGAATCCACCTTGAGTGAGTTCCTGCAGCTTGTATTACCTTGGTTTCAATCCATTTTCCAAGTCTGGTTCCTCTCTGATTAAGGATATCCTGTGGGGGTACTTCCAATACACTAATTTTCTGCTTCAGTTAGCTAGAGTCTATTTCTGTTGCTGGTATCATGTCTTCGTGTGTGAGTGCATGTATGCATACACACACAACACATAGGAAATATGCTAGCAACAACAACAACTGTTCTTTGCCAGGGAAATCTGTTTCAAAAGAGTAAATGATTCTTTAACCTTTCCAGGACAAAACAAATAACCTCTCTCAAATTTTAGCATGACATCCAAGGACTTGTTTCACCTCTCATCACTTTCACTCTTCTACCTATGCTGATCCCTGGACTCACAATTTCTCCATACCATTGTACTTACTGTGCACTTGACCTGTCGTGTTTTTCCCTTTCTTGGCTTCTTGGCAAGTTCCCATGTATCCTTTGTGTTTTAGCTCAAAGATTATCTTCTCCATGAAATCAAGTTTGATGATTTTTGTTCTCCAGTACTATGCATACTTATTTTATAACTCTTACTACATTATATTGTAATTGTGCACAAGTCTGTCCTTTTTACTAGATTATTAACTTCTTAAGGACAGTGTCTGTTTAATCCTCTATCACAAGAACTGAGATATTTCTTGGCACATAGTAGATGCTCAATAGGTGTTTGTTGATGCAATAAATAAATGAATGAACAAAATGATCTAATGTCTGTAAGAATGTGAAAATCAGCAAAAGAATCATTCTAGAACAACTACAATAAAGACCGTCCAATAATCCAGCCACAAGCTACCCAGAAGTGGTTTAGGAAATAGAGACACTGGCTATCTTAAAATAATTTTTAATGTTTTTAAATTTAGTGAATGCAAACAATACACGTTTTAGCAGAAAAATGAAAATGGGTGTATGTTTAATAAAACTTACATTACAAAATAATACCACGTTAGGAAAACCTCAAGAGTAGAAGTAAACATTTAAGCAAATAACAATTAAACAACATGCTAAGATATAATTGTAAAATCTTAATAAATGTAGTTGCCTAAATCTGACTTGAAACACTGAGATTTACTTTGCCACTTAAAAAAAAAAAAAAAAGCAGAATGCCCTTCATTTTAAATGCATTTTTAAAAATGTTTGTACATTGTTTTCCTGCTGGCAACTGCAGTATAATCAAGTATATAAAAGAGTATCAGTTGGATTCCAATCCAATAATAAAAATGTTAAGTATACAGTTATCTCAGAAAGCAACAACAAAAAATCACACTACATATTACCCTTCTACTGTCAGACCCTCTATGCTGCCCATGCCTTTAAGTGAGCACAGCTGAAAACTACTTCAGCCTAAGAGAAAATGAAAACAAAAGTTTTCAGCACCTTATAGTTTCTAAGCACAGGGAAACATGGGCAGAACAGGACTGCAGGAAGAGAACAAAATGGGGGAAGACCAATGATGTGCTCTTCAGTAAAATTCCACTTACAGCTGCTTAAATGGAACGAATGGCTGGTTTATGTATTGGGCATTGTGAAATTAAAAAAACAACACTGACTTCAGAATTTCCTCAAATTTTGGCAGATCCCCCAAAATGCAAAGATAGGAGATAATGTATTCAAATAATCATTTCTTAGAACGTTATAAAATGATGAAACAACACCACAGTTCTGGCAAGGAAAAGGAGGCTGGGAAAGAACGTAATACTCCTTTTTACTCCCTACTCACTCTTCCTCACCAAATTACTAATATTCAGTTGATTCCTTAGAAACCAAAACAATCAAAAATATATTTTATGCAAATAAAGCACTTTTTAGACCAAAGGTCTAAACTGCAGGACCTTCCGACACTCCAAATGGACAAGCACATTTCTTTAAAATCCCAATGACGATTAGTACCCAGCTTTGCAAGTTTTGATTCAGTGTTTCAGTACAATAATCCTTAAAAGAGCATCTTGATCATGACATCATGGTAAGGCTTTAATCAGCACAAAAGTCATCTGCTAGTTAAGTTAAATGTGTAAGAAACACAAAGCTCAACTGTTTCTTTTTCAGATGTGAACTTCATGGAGAATGGGATCTCATTTTATTAACTTCCTGTCTTCTTCCAAGTAAACCAATTCAAACCAGTCTTGCTTTACATAACAATATTAAAATCTTATATAAACCTTTTCAATGGCCTGAGAAATGCAAGGACATTCACTAAGAGATTTGTGCAAAAAATTGTTTTCTTTTCAGAAAGCAAGAAACCAACCTCTAGAATAAAATTTTAGAAGGGATTTGTTTCTATTTTTACTAAACAAATAAGAGAGGCTTTATCTAAAATTTATATATAGCATTAAAATGTACTTAATAAATTTAAGTTCTAAATAAATACTGACAATTGGTATTATAAAATGCAATTTGGTACATCTATGGAATTCGAGGACTTACTATGCAAATTTCAACTACACATTAATAAAATGTAATTGTACATTTCAAATACAATTATGTTTACTTCACATCATTTATTCAGAATATCAGTTCCCTTAGTTATTCTCACAAGTTTCAACCCTTTAAGAAGTTGTACCAAAATTAAAAATCATTAGATTTGATAGTGACAAGTGAGAAAAGCAACTCCTTATGAGTTGAATGAAAAAGCCAAACATAAGGCTTAAGAAAACATTTACAAGTATTGTGTAGGTAATATAATTAATTACAAATTGCTTTCTGTTTATTACAAATGTCTGTTTTAAACTTGAAAATGATGCACAAATAGGGCCTATGTCATGTGTGTGTCTTCTGTAATGCTAATATTACTGATTACACAGATTTGGACTAACACTGCACCACACAGACAGTACTGAGAATGTGCCACATCTATAATGCCACCAATGGAAATGGATTGGTTACCAAAGTGCTGAATTTCCAATCTCTTATCTGGTGTCAGTTCCTTTCTAGTTAGTAGGAGGTGAGGCATCTACCTTCCCCAGGGCTTCCTCACTGAAGAGTAGCTTTCGAAGTATATTTGCATAAAATGGTCCATACACTTGTTTGTTGAGATTCACAATGTTTGCATATTGAGAGCCTAGGGCTTCTAGCTCCTCCTGAATAACAGCCAGGCCTCCTGGCACGAGAGGCATGCATCTTTGAGGACTTGGAAGACAAAGTAGACTTTTCATGTATAGTTGAATTCGTTTATCTGAAAGAAAAAAGTTATCTTTATCTTATGAAGTCCATAATTTTTAAAAACAAGAACAAATAATTGTAGTATGTTGATTGATAAAAGGTTCCAAATCCTTTACCCTTCCCTGTACTCATGCCCTTTAAAAGGTGGTTTTGCAGTTCCCCCTATGAAAGGCTGGAGTGTGATTCCCATTCCTTTAATTTGGGGTGGTTTTATGTCTTGCTTTGGCCAATACAGAATGCAGTGGAAACATCAGGATATCAGTTTCATGCCCAGACCTGAAAAAGACATGAACCTCAAGGCATGGATCATGTCCACTCTCTTCTAACCACTGCTATGAGGGCAAACCTGGGCTCACTGAAGGATGAACTAATTGTAGGGAAACCCATCTGTTCCATCTGAGGCCACTATAGACCAGCCAATAGCCAACCAACTCCCAAACACCTAAGAAAGTCCAGCTGGCTTCAGCAGAGTTACTAACTCAAGCCACAGCTGACCACAAATGCATTAGTGAGTTCAGCAAGCCCGAAAGAACTACCCCATTTTCAACAACAGACGCTGGCAAGGATGCAGAGAAAAAGGAACGCTTCTACACTGCTGGTGGGAATGCAAACTAGTGCAGCCAAATCTTTGGAAGACAGTGTGGTGGTATCTGAAAGAACCAGAAATTGACCTTCCATATGACCCAGTAATTCCCCTATTGGGAATATACCTGGAGAAACTCAAATCATTCTACAAAAAAGAGACCTCCACATGTATGTTTGTTGCAGCTCTATTCACAATAGCAAAAACATGAAACCAACCATGTTGTCCATCGAAGCTGGACTGGATAAAAAAAAAAGTGGTACCTATACACAATGGAATATTATGCAGTCATAAAGAAGGACAAACATATGGACTTCACAGCAACTTGGGTGGATTTAGAGTCAATTATACTCAGTGATCTATCACAGAAACAAAACAGAGTACCATATGTTCTCATTCGTAAGCGGACCTTGAACAATTATAATACTATAAGAAAGTGACTGGTAGTCAGGCTCGGTGGCTCGGCCTGTAATCCCTCACCTTTGGGAGGCTGGGGTGAGTGGATTGCCTGAGCCCGCGGGTTC